CCTCCCAAGTAGCTGGGACTACAGGCACTCGCCACAATGCCCAGCTATTTTTTGGTTGCACCCATCATTGTTGTTTGGCGGGCCGGGCTTGATTTGAACCCGCCACCTTGGGTGTATATGGCTAGCGTCTTAGCCACTTGAGCCACAGGCGCCGAGCCATGGACTTTGATTTCTTAATGAGATCCTTGATCAGCTATACCAGCCCTGAAATATCTATCTCTGAACTTGTCAAATGAAAAAAAACAAAACAAAACCTTGTAATCCTGTTTCCTCACTCTAAAACAAAAAACAAAACCCTAGTCACTGTGTCACTGCAGGGATTTTTTTTATTATTATTAACAAGCAGGAAATATTTTTGATATTCTGGATATTGGATTAACCAGGTAAATTAGACATTTTAGAGGTGGGTAGTAGCAGAGTGGGAATGCTCACAGTGCTCTCACCACCCAAAACAGCAATTTTGAAATTGGAAGTTCTTTTTCAGATGTTTTAACTGTATTTTATGCTGTCATCTAATGGAGACGTTGTGAAAGAAAAATTCATTCAGCCTTGACCTATCTTGTCCATGATTCCAAGATCTTTATTTTCCTTCTTTTTCCTTTCCCTTTCTTTTCTCTATTTGATAAGTGGTTTTGAGCCCCAATAATATGCTACACACTGTGGCAAACACTAGGAATAAAACAGCAAACAAAATCAGGCCCAATCCCAGACTCCATGGACCTTATACTCTAAGGAAGGGGGGTGGGGAATAAGCATTAATTGAATAATCACACACCCCATATAACATTTCATATACCAATCCCACACTCCATGGACCTTACTCTAATGGGGGGTGGGTGGATAAGTATTAATAACTACATATCTCACATAACAACTCACGTTTTAGTAAATTCTGGGAGAACAGGTTCTTGGTCCAATAGGAACCTATGCCATGGGTTGACCTGGTCAGGGAGGGCTTCCTTGAAAATGTGATGACTGAGTTCAGAGCTGAAGGGTGAGCAGGAATTAATGACAAAAACAGGGGTCAACTTTCCAGGCTGTGAGGACAGTGTGTAAGGGCTTTGTGCAGTACTTTAAGGGGTTAAAACTCAGGGTGGATGGAAAGAGTAAGGGACAAAAAGAGTGTCAACCAGGCTACCAAGTTAAGAATGTTATCCCAAGCAGTGGGACATTTTTGGAGGGTCAATGCAAAAATGTGACATGGTTAAATGTGTGGTTTTATAAATTCATATTTTATCAAAATCCTAGTGTTCTAAAGCACTTTAAAATATACTCTCAGCCAGGTGCAGATCACACCTGTAATCCCAACACTGGGACAGTGAGGCAGGAGGATCACTTGAGCCCAGGAGTTTGAGACCAGACTGGGCAATGCAGAAAGACCCCTATCTTTACAAAAGGTGAAAAATTAGCCAGGTGTGGTGTTATGTACCTATAGTCCTAGCTCCTTGGAAGGCTGAGGCAGGAGGATCTCATGAGTCTGGGAGCTGGAGGTTACAGTTAATTGTGATTATGGCACTGCACTCCTGTCTAGGCAACAAAGTAAGCCCGTCTCTAAAAAAATATACTCTCAACATACATACACACTCCTAGTATCCTTTTCCCTTAGTCTATCTACCTTCATTTCCAACAACTGTAGTGATGTGGGATTTTACAAGGAGTTAACCTTATACATACAATTCACAACAAGAATTTTTGTTTTTATGTTCTGTGGGAGAAATAATGCTGGCTTCATAAAATGAGCTAATTCAGTTAGGATGTGCTCCTTCCATTTTCTAAAGTTTCTGTAGAATTTTTACTTCTTCCTAATGTTAGGGTTTCCCCGTGAAGCCACATGGGTCTAGATTTTTGTTTATGGGAAGGTTTGTAGGTATAAATTTAATTTCTTTAAATTATACCCCCTAAATCTATTGATTAAAAAAAAAAAAACATTTAGAAGTTCCTGAGACTTGGCAGAGTTTGACAAAAATATATTTAGAAGTTTATGATTGTTTTATACATAAATTTACTAACTTTTACACTCATTATTGAAAAAAATTCACTCTAGTAATAACATACATATGTAATTCAGTTGATACATGTAAAGCATGTTAAGAATGTCTTAGGCCAGGGGCAGTGGCTCACCCCTCTAATTCCAGCACTCTAGGAGGCTGAGGCTCATGGACTGATTGATCTCAGGAGTTTAAGACCAGCCTGAGAAAAAGCAAGACCCCTGTTTCTAAAAAATGGCCAGGTGCCTCAGCCTCCAACTACCCAGGAGGCTGAGGCAAAAGGATCACTTGAGCCCATGAGTTTGAGATTGTTGGGAGCTATGATGTGAAGGCACTCTACTGGGGGTAAATGAGTGAGACTTTGTCTCAAATAAAAAAAAAATAATAATAATTTCTTACTGCAATTATGTTTAGAATGATTACCAATATTATAAAGTGAATATTAAAATATTAATAAATACAGTGACTTTTTCTGATAAGATACACATAATTACCTGTAAGATTACTTGATCATTGATCACTCACAATTTCAGAGAGACCAGAAACAGTATTAAAGTAGGTATTTATTGTTTTGACTTTTTAAAGGTCAAGGCTGACTCAAAGGTAAACAGAAAATGTTGAATATGAAGCTAAAACTAAATCCGGTGTAACGCACACATAATAGCA